CCCTGGAGTAGTAATCTACCGGTTCAACAGAGTGGTATTTGGGTGTAACTCATCCCCTTTCCTCCTAAACTGTGTTTTGAGACACCACATTATGAAATATGAAAATGAGGATCCTGAATTTGTGGAAAAGATGATAGGAGGGTTCTTTGTTGACGATTTAGTGGTAGGTTGTGAAGATACAGAGGAAGCTTTAACCCTTTATAAAAAGGCTAAAAGTAGGATGGGCGAGGCAGGATTTCATTTGCGGAAATGGAAGACTAATGACAAAGAGTTAGCAGGGGAGATAGCAAAGATGGAAATAAATGGAGTGAAAGAGGAAAAAGCCTCTAAGCATGAAGACACATCATTTGCTAAGGAGACTCTAGGCATGCCAGACAGTATGGGGCAGAAGACTAAGGTTTTGGGCATAACGTGGGACAACACAAGAGATACCTGGGAGTTTAATCTGGGGAACAGAGGCGAGGTAATAGGTGAAACAGCCAAACCCACTAAAAGAGGTATCTTAAGCGCCTTAGCTTCTATATTTGACCCCCATGGGCTTGTTAGCCCTATAGCAGTGTCAGCAAAAATCTTGTTTCAGGAGTTGTGCTTAGGAAAAATTAGCTGGGACGATCCACTTCCTAAGGATAAGCTTGCAAGATGGGAAGAATGGGTTAAGGATTTAAAACAGACGGGTACAATTTGCCTTCCTAGGTGTGTTGTTTCCAAAAACAAAGGGAAGATATTGAGTCGGCAGTTGCACGGATTTGCTGATGCCAGCAAAAAAGCATATTGTGGGATGGTTTACCTTGTAGAAGAAACCACTGAGGGAACCTTTACTAGGCTGCTGAGTGCTAAGACAAGAGTTGCCCCTTTGAAGGAATTAACAATACCCCGGCTAGAACTAATGTCTGCAAGGGTACTAGCTACACTGATGAGCACCATCATTCAAGCCTTCGGTCCACAGTTTAAATTTGATTGCATTAAGTATTGGCTGGACAGTAAAACCGCTCTCTATTGGATCAATAACAATGGAGAGTGGAAGCAATTTGTCCAGCATCGTGTCAATGAAATTTTGCGCTTAACCACCAAGGAAGATTGGGGACATGTATCAGGCATCGACAACCCAGCAGATCTAGGTTCTAGGGGGGTTACAGCAAGCCACTTGAAGGAGAGCACATTATGGTGGCAAGGACCTCATTGGTTAAAGGAAGGACAAAACAGCTGGCCTAATGTGTTCACTTTAGAAGACTCGCC